CATTTCGCCGCGAACAATCACATCAAAGGTTCGAGGCACCGAACCACGAGGTAGTTCAGCTTGGGTTTCCTGATAAGACACAATTTCACTTTTATTGAAAAATAGGCTAAAAGTTAAGGTAGCAAATGGGTGAGGATAAGCTTTCGCGTTTCAGCTGCCTGATAATAAGGGCTTCTAATATAGTTATAATAATGGTTGATGAATTGCTGCTCTGAGATGGAGTAGATGCTGTAAAGCCGAAACGCGTAAACTCTAAATCCACTAACCTGCCACCTTGATTTTTAGCTTTTTCATTCTAATATTAATATATTGAAGATGCTATTGAATGTTCGTACTTAGATATTGAACTTTATCTCGCAAGTGTAAAGCAGTTATACAAGCCAAGATTTGATAAGATTTGATTACTACCTGAATTCTGATTTTCTGGAAATCGACGAAAGATGAATCATCAACATCAAGGCTGAACCTGTTGCGATTCATACATTGAGGATTTGTACAGCGCGAAGGCTAAAAAGGTTGTAATGGTTATTCCTATAATAAAAAATCCCAAAACAAAGGGGTTATCCGCACCTGTGTGTATCGAAATTGCTGGAGCACATTTCTGGTTGTGACTCCGCAGTCCTCGCACACGAAAGTAGCACGACTCAGTTCAGGATGAACAGGATGGGTTCGCACAATTTGTCCATTTATGCAGACCATAGCTCCTATTTTCTCTGCTGTTAGTTCACGAACCTAGAATGATAACAGTCAAAACAACGTCTAAGAATAAATGTTTGCGCTTACGTTGACACGATTCTCCAGACCACCAAAAGAGACATAAACTTCTTTTTTGTGCATTCGTTGCCTGTCAGCATCTTCAGTGCAAGTATCGATGACTGCTAATTGCAAAGCTTCGCAGATGTAGGGATAGAGCCTAGATGAAGGATTACTCCATTAGAAATTTTAGATATGTCTTCAATTTGCTTACTTGTAGAACTGCAACTCGATTGTCCCATAAAGTGTAGCGCTGTAGTTGTGGATATGACGCATATCAACATACAGCGTATTTCTTTCAGGTTCAATTAAAGCCGAAATAGCGCTTTCGTAGATGCGCACTCCATTCTCATCGGTGTATCTGAAAGGGATGTATTCTTTGAAACTGCTAATGATAATTTTTGATGGAGTCTATTTACATTAGTATTGAAAAATTTATA